ATAAAAAAGAAAAAACACAAGTCCCTCCAACCATGGATAAAATCTATAAATAATTTTAAAAAACATATATTAAATATGTCATCACTATATACACACAGCTTTCTGTTAAAGTAGCCATTTGTATGAGTTTTAATTGGTTGAGTAGACTTATTATTTCTATATATATTTGTGCAGCCATAAAACTCTTATGGGAAAAAAGCATATTCTCTTGGATGAAATCCAACAATCCCCTGGCAGTTTCTTCTCTGTGCTGCAGCTGCTCCTATACTTTCAATAGGCTTGAGTTATCTACTGCAGGACAGGTTGGGCAAAGGTGAAAGGTCCAAGCCATCACAACGTTTTCAGTAGACACTGCTGCTCTCTGCAGGAATGTACTGTTGGATTTTGTTGTTTTTTTATGATGCCCCACTAACACACTATCTGACACTTGGGAAAACAGAAAACCATTTTTATTTCATTATGCATTTGTACTCTTTTTTTTTTAATTCAAAAGGAAAACCAGAGCAGCTAACAATAATTGTAGTAGTGCTTATTATCTGGACTTTTTGCAAGAACAGCTTTAGAAATTAGTCCCAAGGAGTAGGGGTATCTTTTTAATCAAAATGTTGATTAGTTAGGTTATAACGTTTTATTAATTAGTCCACGTGTAAGTGAATTGCGTAGAGGTTTATTTCTGTCTGCTCAATATGTTTAATGGGTATTATACTTCAACTTATTAAACTTCATGGAACTGATGTTCCACTTGTCTTGTGTGTTCAGTTTTGGATTAGATTAATGTTTTGGGAAAATAAGCCATGGGACTATGGGATTTTTATGAAAGGAAATGATATCAGTGTTACTCATTAAAGCTTAAAAGAGCAATGGCCTAATTATCACTAGCTTGTAATGCGTGTTGTTCCTGAAAAATGAAAATTGTCTTAAAAGGTGTTTATCTTTTATATTCATATTTAGATAACTACAGAAGTTAAATGTAGTTATTATACTGTTAGGTAATTGTCCAATTATATGTATTCTATTGCAAGTTAATATACTGATGCATAAAATTGTAGCATTTCGGATTAGGAAATATATTGATTGCATCTTAAATAGAATAAAGGACAGAGAACGCAATTCATCTGCACGGTTGGCCAAATGTGTAAATGGATTGTGTTCAGGATTTTTAGATTTTTTTTTTCAGTCTTTTGTGTATTGTTTATTTGCATAACAAATATAAAAGGCCTTTTCTGATTGAAATAAGGGATTTTTGAAATAATTGCTTTAAGCCTTAATTATAATTTTGATTTACATACAGTCCAGGAATAATCTTTTTTAAAAGCTGTCCTCAATTATTTAATGAAATGTTCTTAAAAATATTTTTCAAATGGGATTACACTTCCATTTAGAGAATTTACCTGCTTACTTCACATTCATAATCAACGTTAAAAAATACAATTGTAGAAGATTCATTTATGATGTAAGAATTTCATTAGCTGTTAATAGCAAGAATTTCTGAAATTGTTACTTTAAACACAGTACCATAAAGCTTCATAAAGTTCAGCTTTATAACATTGTTTCAGCACCATTTATTTTAATAGGATTACCATACAGATATTGTTGTTAATCCAAAAGCTTTTCAGTTTCTCCTCTAATCTAATTTGCTTTACCTTCCCCTTCAAATGAAGGATTGTCATCTGTCAAACTAAGTACAGTATTTTAAATGAATAAATGCTAGCAAATAAAATGCTTCTGCTGTGGTCTCCTTTTTCGCTGTGTTTTACTGCAAATAAACAGACTTTGGTACTCTACTAGCAAGTATTAGACATCAAAGAGATACAAAATATTTTTATCTTAAACCTTCCAACCTTGAAACAGCTGTCTTAGATCTTTCAACCTCTGAACAATATGTGTGTTTTGAGGACTTTGTTTTAAGCTTGGAACAAAACTTAGTTGTTTCAAACAGCTTGTAACTGGGTTGCTTTTTTAAAAAATCAGACTTTCCAGCCTATTCAGTATAAAGCAGCAGGAATCAATTACATGTCTGCTGCTGTTAGACCAGACCTGTACAACTTGTAGATGGGGAAGGGCCCCATGATAAATTACACAACATTGCGGATCAACTGTTTGGCTGCTAGCACACCACCAGCACTGGAGCTGGTGGCAGGGTTGAGGCTTGGAGGCACTCGGGAGTGCATCATGTGATTTTGACTTGAGCTTTCAGAATACATGTTAATATAACAGACTATATTGCTTTGTATGTTAGCGAGTTGCTTGTCTTATGCTGCTGAGCGTGTGTTCTATTTTGCTGACTCACGCTGTGTGTGTACATATGTATAGTATGTGACTCTTCTGGGCATGCTGTGAGCTTTTCAGAATAGATTTTCTGTGCTGATTGGAGAGCAAGGATTTTTGTTTGGTTTTTATTTTTTCTACAATTTTTTACTCTGCACAGAAATGTTAACAATTTTTCATAAACTATAACAACAAAAAAGTCTTCATAGTGAAGAGCATAATTTGTACTGTCTGGGTAGGTTTTTCTTGTTCTTTTTAAAGGCTTCATGCCCTGCTTCTGTGACAGAGGTCAATGCCTGTTTTAGCTTCTAAGGAGGCACTAATAAAAAATTAGAAATTAGTGATTTTGATTTGTGTGACTTAGCTAAGTGCCTCGAGAGGTTTCTTTCTAACTAAAAACATCTCACTGTTGGGAACCATGGAACAAGGTGTGTGGGAGGTTCTGATTTGAACTGCACCATTTCTATCCCATGAGGATTGATTGATTGATTGATTGATTCCAAAATGTTTAAAAATAATCTTCAGGTGGTTTTTTACAAGTTGGCTGGCTGGTAGCAATCAGCATGGACTGATTGCCACCTACTCTTCTGATGCCAGAGTGACAAGCAAGGGACAAATACCCAATTCCCGCTACCAGATGCAGTGTCATGCAAGCCTGGTCATCTCCCCATACTACGGTCTTGAATCAGAACAATTTTAAACAACCCCCTCCCCTACCCTGAGAAGGGATATTCCAGAGAAGCTAGGGGAGGCAGGCAGTACATCTGTTGGATCAGATTTGCTTGCCACATATCAGGTCTTGGATGGATTATCTCCAAGGAGACCCATAGACTGAGTCTTATAGTTTCTCTCAGGCTCAAAGACACTTGTTTCACAACAGTTGTGCCTCAGTTGTGCCTCACCTAACAACTGGTGGGATTTGGTTAACGATAGCAATAGGGACTGCCAGGATTGCCGTCGCTAAGCAACATGGTATGTTGCGCTTTACATAATTCTGGTCCCAATTACTGTCATAACCCAAGGACTACCTATAAACCAAATGGCTGCCTCTTGCAGAATTTGTGTATAACAACTCATTGCATTCCCAGTCTACAACTATCAGCCCCAATCTTGCCTCCAGAGTTCCTGCCTCCAGGTCCACTTAAAGAAATAGATTCGGCCAAGGGTGAGTACTAGTGTGCAGCAGTTGTGCATAAGTATCAAGATTGCGGGGGGGAGGGGAGGGGGGTTTCCACTCAATTTTTGCCTTCCTCCCACTTAAGAAGCTGGACTCTAAGTGGAATGAATGAATGAATTTGATGATTGTGGTCATAGACCAGCATAGAACTCTTGAGTTTATTTTCCTTTTATATATCAAATTGTATCAGTGGCTTCTGCCTACAGTTGCCTGCCTCAATGAAGGTTATCCAGTATTCCACAGGTCGCTTCTTGTTTGAGAAGAACCACCCTGTCCCTTGCATTCTGCACCAGTTCCTACCCCATCCCATCAGGTTCTAGAGGATGGAGAAGAAGACTATGAAGTAGAATGTGTTATGGTTTCTAGGTACAGGAGGGGACACTTAACATGTCTTATTCACTAGAAGGGCTACCCTGAACCTGAGGTTTCATGGGAGGAGGTGAAAGATGTCCACACACCAGAACTTGTCTTTCAGTTCCATCTGAAATTCCCATAAAAGCCCCATCCCCATGAACAGCATTGCCAGACAATGACCCCCAAAACAGAAACTCTTTGCTTCCTAACACATCAGGCCTCCAATGGCAATTGCCAGGCAACGGGAGGGAAGGGAGCATTTTTCAGCTCCATCTGGCTCAGTGTTTCCCAACCTGGACATCTTTGACATTTGTGGATTTCAACACCCAGAATTCTTAGCAATAACCAAACTCGGAAACACTAACCAAGCTTTTCCCTACCAGAAATTATTAAATGCTACAAAGTTTTGGATAGCAGCTTCCGGGTGAGGATCTACAGCAGACTAGATGTCCCTGAAGGAGTAGGGATGGCATTACAAGTGCAGATTGATGGCCAGACGGCAAATTCTGGCCAGCACTCTTTCTGGATAAAGGAGAGATTGTGAGCTCTGGACAACTGCTCTTCTTGTGTAGGCAGCAGGAACCGAGGTTTTTGAGATTGTTTCATGAGGCTTTTTTTAAATATAATTTTTATTAAAACTTTTAAACAAGCTAAAAACTAACATAAAGTAATATAAAGCAAGGAAGAAGAAGAAAAGAGAAAGAAATCAAAGAAAAAGCAAAAAGTGCAAGAAAAGAAAAAAGTTAGGAAAAAATAGAAAAGAAATTAAAACATAAAGAAGTGGCTTCTGATATTCTTCACAGCAATTATAAGTACAAATATATTTTAACCTCTCTAATGGTACATAATATCACTCTTCTTTCTATAATCTATCCTGTCTAATCATCAAAACCATAAATCACAAGTTCATTTTTTTCATTTTACACAAAAAGTCCATAAGAGGCTTCCAATCACCAATAAATGTAGATAGTTTCTTTTCTCTAATCATATAAGTCAATTTATCCATTTCAGCAAAATCTACCTACTATGGAGGAATGGTTGGTGAAGTTGATAATGTCATATCTTTCCATCTCTGTGCATACAGCAATTTCGCCACAGTAATCATATATTGAAATAATCTTCTATGGCTTTTTTCTAACTGTCCATTATTCCTAAAAGGAAAAGTTCTGGTTTCAACTGAATACCGGTCTCTAAAATCCTCTATATCAAAGTATGTGGTTGTCTCACGAGATGAGTGGCTGGGAGTCAAGGGATTTCAACCAAGCTCATAGTTGTGATGCAGCCTATATAGACACAAGGTTCGCACAAGCCTCACTTTCTTAGACACTTTTGGATGGAATTAATTCACAGCTAAAGAGAGATTTTCTGAATGGCAGAATAACAGAATTCCACTTGGTGAGTCAACATTCTTTCTGGACTAAAAAGGAAAAAAAAGGGGGGGGGTTAAAGATGTAAAAACTTTGGGCAAAAAGCTTAACAAGAAGTGGATGTAAGAAAGTTTAAAATTGATAAAGAGGATAGGGTTTTTTTGAAAAATTATTTTTTTGGTGAAAATTATTTTGAATAAATTGGAATTAAAATAGACAAATGAACCAGACCTTCATGGGAATGTTCACATTCTGTATTTCTAATTCAAGGTATTTAAATATGATTTTTATTCATGTTTATAATAAAACATTTTTGTACACAACCATGAAACTAAA